CCACCCCCACCCCCACCCCCCACCCCCACCCCCACCCCCGTCTGAGGAGCAGCACGTGCTCCTGGCGGGGTCCCCAGGGGCGCGGGGAGGGCGGGCATTTTCTTCCTTGGATCACACACACACACACACACACACACACTTGGCTTTGAAACACGTCCATGGATTTAATGCGTCAGAAAATATATTTTAGGTCCAAAGCGAAGGACGCTCGGCCGCCCACCGCTCTAAGCTTCCCCGACCAGGCCCCAAATCCCCCAGCCAGGCCCTTGCAGCCGGATAAGCCGCGGCGAGGAGCTGCCGAAGCTCTGGTTAGACTCAACGCTATTTTCTCACCATCCTGCCCTTCAAATGTGAAGTTTAAAATAAACACGGAGGAAAGTTGCAGGAAGTTGCTGGAGCAAAGGGTAGCTGTAGGCAAGTGACCGTGGAAGTTGCTGGAGCAAAGGGTCGCTGTAGGCAAGTGACCGTGGCCCGCTGCTTGGAGGCGGCTTCATCTGCAAGGGCAGGGAATGGAAGGGTGCCTGGTAGTGTCAGGGCTGATTTTCTTCTTTTTTTTTTTCTTAAGGGATTTCTAGAATAAATATTAGTGTAAATGAGGGTAAGAAGAAATGGCAGTTTTAGCCAGAGGGTCCACTGAAAAAAATTGTAAGTCATGTAATCAAGACAACCAGAAGAATGTGTTATTATGATATTCAGAGTCCTGAAACTTGGCTAATCAACTGCTGATTCAGCGATTCAAAAAAGCCATCGTATCCTTTCCTGGTTTACAGGCTTTATAGGCGGTTACGTCTCCTCTTACAACGATCGATCGACCGGGCTTAGTCATTCATTAAATCTCCTATTGATGTGTCAGGTTTCTTAAGTCTGCGAAGAGGATTCCCACCGCGTCGGTTCTGAGACACAGAGCCAGTAAGGTCAAGTTTGAAAACCTGTATAGGAAAAGGTATGAGACTCTACCAAGCTTGGAGCCCAACATGGAGCTGGATCCCCCAACCCATGAGATCATGACCTGAGCCGAACCCGAGAGTCGGAGGCTCAACCAAAGGAGCCACCTAGGTGCCCCTAACCACACGTTTTTGAACAATCATAATGTATTGTCAAATAATAGTAATTACATTTTTGAGCACTTGCTACATGCCAGGCAGTTTTCTAAGTGCTCCATATATATGAATTAATGTACTATGTGCACACGGCCCCTTCTTGCCAGGATCATAGACCGGACCCTAAGCTGACCAGGAACCCAGGTCCAGGAGCAGAAGCCTCACTCCGCACGGATAGCCTCATTGAAGCTAAGAGCCTGTGTCTCTTAATTTATTCGTTTATTAAAGCATTGTCTGCATCAACTTTCTGATTTCAGGGACCCTAATGCTTCACTTTTACCCTCCCATGCCACCCCGCTATGGCCCCCTTGACCACAACTCCAGGACAGAACTTCTGCAGCCAGAACCTGCAGCTGGTCAGCTTCCCAGGAATTCTCTGGTCCCGCTGAGAAAGCGAGGGGCAAGGAGGCAGTAATAATGCCACATCCTCCTCTCTTCACCTGCCCTGCTGCCGCCCATGGCCTGGTAAATCCTGCAAGGTGTCCCTTTACAGCATTAATGTTGGGGTCAAGCACAACACCTGTGCCAGACATCACCAGGCCCCCTGGGCGCTGGATCACACCAACTGGATTCACCGTAATTCCACAGAGCAAGAAGCTATAAAACAGGAGCTTGTTGTATGTACTTACAAAATGTTTTAAGATGGTCTGTAAAGAGTAGATAATAAAGCCTGCCCAGAAACCCCAAGTATAGTGATTGGCAAATGTGAAGTCGTCAGAGGAATAGAAAATGAAGATGTGCTTGTTCAACCAAGAATACAGCCCTTTCGGGGTCAGCCCAAGGAGGTGAGTAAGGTCAGAAAGAGAGAGAGACTTGGGGCCAGGCCAACAGGAGCTCTGGTCCTGGCCTGCCGCTTACTCTTAGCTCTGAGAGGCCAGAAATTGAACTGAACTCCTGAATCTGTCCTGTCGTACAGCTTCATGCTGGGGGTTCCGAATACTGCAGTTCACTCCAATGGCCAGAAGAAAGTTTGGCACAAGATACAGGCTTGGTAATGGTGATGACTGCCGTGGAACTGGCCGCGGCCATCCGCCGTAGAGGTGTGATATTGTCATCTGCGGTCGAGATCTCGGAATGCGTAGTTAGTATGAATGAAGAATGAATCTTCAAAGGGAAAGAACAGAGAAAGGAAAAGAAGGGTAAAGGGAAAAAAAGAGCCTAAGATAGCTCAAATATTGGAGGGAGTAGAAGAAACAACAGCAACCTACAAAATTAGCCTTGTGGCCCCTGGCGTCCTGAAAATTTATGATATGTTGATTTTTCTTTTCTGAGCCATTTCGGGCCAGATTCACTCATGATGACTCTTAACCCAGGTAAGCCACATTTGGCCCTGCTTTTAAAAACACTGATTCTCAGGGAATTTTTGCAATGATTTAAATTAATCACGTAAGACTAAAGTTCTGTACGACGCTAGAAATCCAGGCTATAAGTGAACTGATTCCTGGCCGACGGTCTAGTAGAAGAAATAGAGAGTGAAGAATCAGAACATCTGTAAGTACCTAGAATGACATTTACCCAAGAACAGCAAAACCCGGATGGAGTGTGTTTCTAAGGGAGTCCGTTCTATCGTGACATTTCTGAGGCAGACACTCCGAATGCTGTCCAGTCCTATGCACAGAAGAAATCCTCTTGAGAAATTTGGAAAGAGAAGTTGAGTCCTATGTTGGAACAGCCGATGACTTTTTAGCCTCCCACACCACCAAGCCAAGGAAGGATTTCAGAGCTCGTGTAAACAAAATAAGAATATCAAAGTTCACGGTCCCCTTTCTGCCAGTAAAGTCCATCTTTGTTTACGCACAGCACTGAGAGTCAAAATGTGAGCGGAGATTAGCTTCCACAATAACGCGTCTGGTTTTCACTGTGGAGGAGCGGGGAGAAAGCACAGTTTCCAATGTGCTCGTTATCTCGTGAAATTCAACTCCGCGGTGCCCCCCCCTTTAGGATTTTTGTCACCCACAACCATTCGGCCCCTTTGTTCGTGACCCAGCTCCGAGTAACCCTCAGCCCTGCCTCGGATCCTCCGCAGTCCTGCCTGCTGTAGCATTTGACTTCAAACCGAATCAGACTGTGATGCAGATTCTCATTTATGCCAGGTGAGGCCGCAGGGTGACCTAAAACCTCCAGAAACTGTCGGTCCTTCTTAGGTTGTATTAGGCGGGCTGCGATGTGCAACAGGAAAGACTGATCCCACTTGACTCTTGGGGAAAGAGAAAACAAAAAAACAAAAACCAGACAACAGGTAAGGCGTGGAGGTGCTGCCTGCTGCAGTCCGAGCCCCCCGCCCACCTGGGGAGGGCCTGGAGCTGCCCCTGCCCCGCGGGGGGGGGGGGGGCTGCGGTCCTGGGGCACGTGCTCCGCGCATCCCTCAGCTCACCTGGCGTCACCCGGTCGGTCGGGCCGGCTTCGGCGGGGGGGGAGGGGGGGGGGGAACACCGGGGCCCGCGGTGCTGCTCAGGTGACGCCGAGCAGAGACCGACCAAGGGAATCTCCCGCCAGCCGCCCTCCATTCCAGCCCCTTCGTTTGATAAAATCAGAGCGTGTCGAGAGCAGAACCAGGACAGTGGGGACGCCTGGGAGCCCGGATCACGACCCTACACACGAGGGCCGCGCCCCTGGGATCGCCACCGGCCTGCCCACGGCCCGGGGCGCCGCCACCTGGGCCCGTACAGCCTGGCGGACCGACAGACGTGCTCCCCCGCGGCCCCCGTGCTCCTCCGTGCTCCCTCCAGGCCCCTCCGTGCCCCCCATGCTCCTCCGTGCTCCCTCCGTGCCCCCCATGCTCCTCCGTGCCCCCCATGCTCCTCCGTGCTCCCTCCGTGCCCCCATGCTCCTTCGTGCCCCCCATGCTCCTTCGTGCTCCCTCTGTGTTCCCCATGCCCCTCTGTGCTCCTCCGTGCCCCTCCGTGCTCCTCCGTGCTCCTCCATGCTCCCTCCGTGCCCCCCATGCACCTTCGTGCTCCCTCGGTGCTCCCTCCGTGGCCCCCGTGCTCCTCCGTGCCCCTCCATGCTCCCTCCGTGCTTCCTCCGTGCCCCCCATGCTCCTTCGTGCTCCCTCTGTGTCCCCCATGCTCCTTCGTGCTCCCTCCGTGCCCCCCATGCTCCTCCGTGCCCTCGTGCTCCCTCCGTGCCCCTCGGTGCTCCCTCCGTGCCCCCCATGCTCCTTCGTGCTCCCTCTGTGTTCCCCATGCCCCTCTGTGCTCCTCCGTGCCCCTCCGTGCTCCTCCGTGCTCCCTCCGTGCCCCCCATGCACCTTCGTGCTCCCTCGGTGCTCCCTCCGTGGCCCCCGTGCTCCTCCGTGCCCCTCCATGCTCCCTCCGTGCTTCCTCCGTGCCCCCCATGCTCCTTCGTGCTCCCTCTGTGTCCCCCATGCTCCTTCGTGCTCCCTCCGTGCCCCCCATGCTCCTTCGTGCCCCTCTGTGCCCCCTCATGCTCCCTCCGTGCCCCCCATGCTCCTCCATGCCCTCGTGCTCCCTCCGTGCCCCTCGGTGCTCCCTCTGTGCCTTCCGTGCTACCTCCGTGCCCCCCATGCTCCTTCGTGCTCCCTCCGTCCTCCCTCCGTGTCCCCCATGCTCCTCCATGCTCCCTCCTGCCCCCCGTGCCCCTCCATGCCCCTCTGTGCCCCTCCGTGCTCCTCCGTGCCCCTCCGGTGTCAGGCTCCCTCCTCAGCGGGGAGTCTGCTTCTCCCTCTCCCTCTGCACCTCCACCTCCACCCATCCATGTTCTTCTCTCTTTCAAATAAATATATAAAATCATAATTAATTAATTAATTAAAAATGGCGAGGTTCAACAAGTGAGAGGCCGTTATCAAGGAAATACACTTTTTATCACAAGACAACTCTAGGCCAAAACCCATAGAGAATTAAAAAAAAGACCACAGGGACTCTTTTTTTTTTTTTTAACTTTTATTCATTCAGAATGCAATTCTAGACCAATCTACAACCAAGAGAAAATCCTTAAACTTTTAAACAGTGTTAACAGGCTAAATAATATAGCAGTATAGCCCCCGTATGTACAAGCAAGAAGTCGCTTTCCATCCTTATCACAAAGCCTCTTCCTAAACATTTACGTTTCCTTCCCATCCAAAAAATGCATTAACAAGATCATGCTCGTGTAGCTAGTCAGCACAAGACAAGTGACAATTTATACTGAAATATCAAAGTTTTGCGGTATATGGTGCCCACAACTCCAAGCTGCAGCTGTTGACCTTCTCAGTGGCACTCACTATGTGGCATCGCCACCAATTAACATTAGAAGGACTTCGTTCATTTTTAAAAGCTAGAATTACTCAAAAAAATCTCTGTATTGTAAATAGCATGTGAAATATTGCGTTTAAGTCTAAAACGGCAATATCACTTAAACTTTTTCTACAGTCCTCCATGATTAATATACGTAGGAAAATCAATGTTATATGAGAAGAAACAGACCAAGTTCTTACATTTTACCTAAAAGTCTAATTGTTTTTAAGTAGTATCTATTAATATTTAAATGATTACAAAATAAATCAATGTTAAATATTGCACAAAATCTAAAAGAAAATGGCCACGTTACATCATACTATATAGTATAGATTGATTAAAAGCAGCTAATTAGAAGCTTCTTTAGAAATTTAAAGTTTCTGACATCATTTTCCACCATTCCATCAATTCTTCCTTTTCCTCTTCTTTCCTTTCAGAAAATGACTCCAGTTCAAAATCAACCTAAAGGAGAAAATCAAGAATATATTGTTACCAAACTGTAGGCATATTTTTAAAAGCTGAGATTTTTAAAATTTAGCGCAGTTCTGGAGCTTATAGACTAAGTTCAGTATAGCCCCCTGAATTAAAGGATATCCTAAAAATCTCTTGTGATAAATAAAAGATACTTTCAGGGGAAAAAAAAAAAACAATCAGAGGCCATTATGTTTGAAATGTGCTTTGATCTTATAGCCTTATAGGATTATTTAAAAGCAGATTGTGTAAAGGCAGTCTATTTAAGGGCAATCTTCCCCTCTCCTCAAGAAGAAGGTATAATTTATAATTCATTTTCTGCCTTTGAGTATTCACTGAGATTCCATAAACTTTGAATTTTCTCCTAATAGCTGGGGATACATGGAAGAATGTAGCTCAGTTTCCTCGTGTCCTAAACCACAGGTTCTGCTTTCCAGAATCTTGAATCTGCTGAGACTGAGGGAGACACACACATCTCCAAACCGCCACAGGGACCAGGGGCCCAGGAACTCAACTCTCTGGGTGGACTGGGAGTTCCCAGCAGGTCTCTGCAGGTCCGTGCACTCCTGCATATTCAAAATCTGTACGTCCAGCCTCAGTCCTCCTCCGGCCCCTACGTTCCTCTGCTCTCACTGCAGGTAGAAGCGAGGGTTCCTTGGTCTGGCCGCTTGAGCCCCTAGTCACACGCTACCTCCTTGAAATCACACGGAGCAGGCTAAGATCCAAATAACTGAATATTTAACAACCTGGTCCTGGAGCTCCTTTTTCCCAGGTTCCATCTGCCCAAATTTATCTCCTCATTTTACTACACATGCAGCCTAATGTACACATACACACGACGAAAACCAAAGCACCAGTTAAAAACTCAAGATGCTCTGTTTGCATAACCAAGCACTTTAGACTTAAAACTTTGGATTCAAGCACAAAAACTCAATAAATTGTTTTTAAGGAAGCCTTGGAACTGGAAATCCTGCAGGCCATGCCCTGGCTGCAAAAAGGTGACGCCAAGATAGCAGGAGAATCCTGCTCCGAGAGCACCTTTGGTCTCCTCACCATCACCTTCCTAACTAAATAAGTGGCACCTACTTAAATAAGATGCACTTTTTGATAGCTCTTAGGGTCTTTCTCATAATATGTGCTTAATAAATGTTTGGTTAATGCCCAAGATCACCTGGCAGGCATAATTAACTTTTCCAAATACTCACTGAGTATTGTACTGGATGCTAGAAATAAAAAAGATAAATGGAACAGAAATGTCATTTTAGATTGCAATCAAGGTGGCAAATAAAACCTTCATTTTTTTTTTTTTAAGTTGTATTCGATTTTCTTGCGGATGTCTTCAAAAACCGAAAAGTGATAAGGGAGCTTCACATTGAGTAGTATAAAATCAACCAAGGAGCCCTTGGTCAAGTTACTTGACTTCCCTAGGCCTCAGTTTTCTCACCTGCTAAATGGGGTAATAGCGGTACCTACCTCACAGGGTTATTATGAAGACTAAATAGAAATGACTTGAATATGTCCGACACATACAGAGCGCTCCATAGATCTTAGAAATTATGACTTCTTACCCCAACAGCAGGGCTGTAAGGAACTGCTACTTTCTTTGTTGTTGCCAGATAGCCTGGAGCTGAGGCTGTGAGCTTATAGTTTCCAGGTACAAGCAATCGCCAGTAATCACCATCCTTTGCTGTAGGGAAACAAAATACCAAGTCACAGATTTAGGCCATTTTAGAAAACCCAGCATACCTCAGTTCAACTTCTTTGATTCCCTATTTTTAAAGCAGCTGTTTATGGAATTTGATAAAGCTCCACTGAAATGAGTGTTACACTCTCTTAGAAAAAGTTAGAAATTTCTTTTTTTTTAAGATTTTTTTTTATTTGTTCACTTGCGAGAGAGAGAGAGAGAGAGAGAGAGAGAGAGAGAGAGAGAACACCAGCAGAAGAGGAGGGGAGGAGGGAGAGGGAGAAGCAGGCTCCTCCTGAGCAGGGCGCCCAAGGCCAGGACCAGAAGGAGGCAGAGGCAGCAGGGCGGGAGCGAGGGAGGGACACAGGAGGCCCCCAAGAGCAGAGAACCCCGGCGGCCACAGCAAGGATTCATGCTCCGTGCATCCCCTAGGGCCTCCAGGCCACGGCAAAAGCACCCACCAGATGTGACGTCGTGGTCTATTCCTTCCACCGAGATGGTTGCGTTGGCGATCGGGTTCCCCTGAAGGTCGCGCACAAAGCCTTTAACTCCCCGGTGTATCTGTCAAGGTCAAGAACAACCAAAAACGGCAAATTAGAAATGATCCAGGAATACACTTTGCGTCAAGAATGTCCGCATTTCCTAGCAAAGTCCTGTTAGATCCCCCTTGCCTAAGGATCGGAAGAGGCTCAAAAAGCCGCTAAATTATCTTGAACGCTCTTTACACTGATCTTTCCTCAAGTGGACAAATGAGAGGTAACCCCCCGAAAATTGACATCTCGTTCTGAGCCACAGGAAGCCAGCGAAGTACCCTCCTAACCACCAAAACCACCAAACCAAGTGTGTCCCACCCGGACGCTGCGCGGGGCTTGGCATATTTCAGTACTTTCTCCTTCTGACGTTTGGCCCTCGAATCCTCGCTCCTGCTGAATAGACACACTGTGGCCGCCCTTGCAATACACCCAGTGACGACATGATTCCGGTTGAAAATAAGTGACATGAAAGACGAGATTTGGACTTCAAGACTGAAGACGAGATTTGGAAAGGCAAGCAGAAGAGATGCCGTGGAGAATAACGCCCCCGAACCACGTTGCAGTCAACAACTAAGGCAACGCAAACTACAAGAGCGGCTTTTTCCTTCATTTTAAGCAGAACTCAACTAAATCCACATGTGTTTCAAGTGACCAAGGTCACTTCAGGTTCCTGAGAACGTGCTGCTTCTGGAATACGAAATGGTGATTCATTAAGCTCAATTCCTTAACAGAAGAGGCCCCACTTCCCAAAGCCTCAGCTCGCTCCTCACTCAGTCTCACCCTCAAAAGTGGATTTTCTTTTGCTACTGAGGCTACTGACTGGAATATTTCCTACAGGAGGTTGATTAACTCTCGGGTTTGCCTTTGTCATCAGAATAAATCTGGCAGTAGCACAAAGTTTTTTCAAAGAGATGCCCCTGATTACCAATCAGCAAATCTTTTTGCATTTGCTATTTAAAAAAAAAAAAAAAAAAAGCAGAACTTCTAAAACTCTATAAAAATAACATGTACTCGCTTTTCCTAAAGGCAATTTGGGGATCAGAAAATTTTTAGGGAAAAGGAAGAGAGGTACACAGAGAACAGAAAATCAGAGAAAACATACAAATTTTAATTTCTTAATATGAGGGTTCTTCAAAGAAATTTAGAAAGCTTATAAACAAGCAATAATTTACCCACGTGTACTTTATGCATCTTGAGACACTATAATCCTGGTATGATCAATATTATCATAAATATTCAATATTATGAATAAACCTGATCAATATTATGATCACTATTATGATCAGGTTAGGGAAACCTTAGGGAAATGAAAGTTTTAAATTTCCTTGCCATTGGACAATAAGTCAATCCCTTCAAAAACATATAGTTTGTGTGTATTAGGCACAAATATACCCAGTTAATATTCATGTCTTTACTTTTTTCTGCCTCTGCAACCCCAAACTTAGAGTATGCAGTTTAAGAAGTAGTGAAATAAGTAGATATCTATCTGTGAGATGGCAATTTTGGAGCAAACATCTCTGAAAAAAATGCCCCCGTAGCCGTAAATCTCAGTGGAAATGTTACGGGGTCTTGTAACTCCACGCGAATGCAGATCGGGAGCCTTGGTCATTCTATGGCTTCTGGAAAGGAAATCACAGAAGTTCAAATTTCACTCGTGCTTGAAGAAGCTATTTACTCTACTTGTCTACTCCTCAGATCCCAGGACATCAATCAACAAAGACTGGGAAAAAAAAGAAACCGAAACCCCATCCAGAAGATTCTCCACTGTTAGTAGAACTGTTCGTGTCAGTAACCCTTAGGCCCTCCCGTGCCCAAGTGCCACCCAGAGCGCTTGCTGGGACGGAGACTCTGAGGTCCTGCAATGCAGGGAGTGGGGCTCATTGGTGGGACCGGAAGCTCATTTTTAACGAGAACCTAGGCGATTCTGATGCAGGTGCCCATGAACCAGTCTTCGTGGATTTCTTTGGGAATGTTGGGAACTGGACTGTTCCAGAGCTACCGAGTGAGAGGCTCAAACTATTTACCCTAATTAACTTTACAATTCCAGTTGCTGCAAACATCCCTTTAAAACTCTGCAGGAGATTTCCTCTCAACCGATTACAGAATTAGAGATTACAGATTAGATCTCCTAATCTATTTTCCACGAGCTGTCAACTAGTCCACACTCGGACTTTGGGTCCAGGTGTTCAATTACGAAGCCCCATCGTACTCTGTCCCACTGTCGATAAAATAACTCCAACACAGAACGTCCGGCAGTCTTCACTGATCTGTCATCAGCCCTTGACGCCCGGGACGAAGTGTCCCATGAAGCAAGCTGGGGGAGTTCGGTGTAGACGAACTGCGTCTCCGCGGCCTGCACGGTAACGCGGCCGTCCCCCAGGGTGGAGCCCGTGGGTGTGCAAGTTCTCATTCCAAGTGGCCTAAGATAGGTCTGTATGGCCAGCCAGCGCCCTCTTCTTTTCGGCTTATTTCTATATAAACTGAAGAACTGACACAAGCCTACTTGCTACCACAAATATCACACACATTCTCCTTCCTCCTGATGGTACACACCCGTGGGGTTTGTTTTGTATTGAGTTTTTCCTTAAGAACTGAGACTTCAGCAGCAGCTGAACCTGTTTTTCAATTGATGATCAGAGTAATAATCTTATCGGTGTCAACTATTGTAAATCTTGCAAGTTCTTAAAGTTCCAAGAAGACTTTTCTGAACCCCCAGGACTGAGTTAGGGACCCAGAGTGCTGCCATTACTCTTTGTAATTGACCTTTATTTTAGAATTTACCATCCTCTCTTATGGTTAGGTATTGACCCAATCTAATTTCTGACCTAATCTAATTGACCTAAGTTCTGAACTCCACTAATAGGAAGACTTCTTGAGGGCAGTCACTAACTACCCCCAGTGCTTAACGATGTGCCTAAGACCCTAGAGGAGCTGAATACATTTTTGTTGAAAGAACCACAAAGGGGGACCTGGGTAGCTCGGTCAGTTGAGCGTCTGCCATCGGCTCAGGTCATGATATCGGGGTTCTAGGATGGAGCCCCACATAGAGCTCCCTGCTCCATGGGGAGCCTGCTTCACCCTCTCCCTCTGCCTGCTACTCCCCCTACTTGTTCTCTTTCTTTCTCTTTCTCTCTTTCTCTCTCTCAAATGGATAAATGAAATCTTAAAAAAATAAAAAAGCTATGTAAATAAAATGAAAAGCACTATATAGAGGAGACATCATTTAATGTGTAAGTGGAGGACACACCAAATAACCCCGTCTTACTTCCTCTGCCCAAAAAGCATTTTTATAACTCTCCTCAAAGGAGATCCTTCCTAGTCAGGAGCTCTTATTAAAGTTGTTCTAGGGTCCACATAGCTAATTATCCTTGGCTTTTGTTGGTAAAAATGCCTTTTTCTATTAACATGCAGCAGGATTCCTCTGATTGAAAAAATCTTGTGTAATGAGTAATTTTTAATTACTGTAATTAGTGGATATATTCCCTGAGACTCACTTTTAGTAAGGTTTTATGTGGATATCTGACATGTGTAGAATACTTTTACATGTCTTAAAATGCATCAGTTTCCTATGCATATGTTGTCCACATATATGCAAATAGCGTCGTGTTTACTTAACAGCATTTGTTCATATCAAATTCATTTTTAAATTAGTCTGGACTCTCTGCTGGCACATGAAACGGACACCACTCTACCTGACTTTGGGTGTAAACGGCCACACATGGACTGGAACTTGAAGACTGTCAAGGCCCTGCAGGCGAGGAACGGAGTCTTTAGGTCTGGTGCCAATGTCAGCACACTACAGAGACGTGGGGTGGTCAGGGGACTGGCCTGGGTTGGGTCTCAGTAGGTGAGACGTCTCGCTCCAGCAGATGGTGAGACTCCCCCCAAATTCTGTACAGATCCCACCGGAATGGCTACGTAAGCGCCTCTCCAGCACAGAGCTAGGCTTGTGCCACCAGAGATAACACGGCACGGTCATTCTGGAATGAGACAGCCCAGGTTCAAATTCTGCCCGAGTGACTTCAGGCAAGCTGTTTGCTTTGTCTGCGTCTCCGATCCCTCATTTTTAATTCGGGGATGAGAATGATGATGAGGATGATGATGATGATGACAGTACGACTTCCCTCAGAGGGTCTGTTGTGAAGATTAAATGCCTTAATGATCACAAGGCACTCAGAACAGTGTCTGGGAACCCGGAACGGCCAGGAATGGTCAGCTGGCATCATGATGACTGCCTCGGGTCCCGCTGAGTCAACGGGGAGACAAGTGGGGCACCTGGGGCACAGCATTTGAGAAGGTGCTCGCACCTGGGGGGACCCTCTACCCACAGGCCCCGGCAACGAGCGCCTCCTAAGGCCTGGAGCCCAGGGGCCTCGTTCCCCTGCCCTCGCCCTGCTCCCGCGGGGGGCAACCGACAGGCCCGAGATGGGGGGCAGGAGGGGCTGGGGCAACACGACACACACAGGCTGTGCTGCCACCACCCGGGGCGCCTGACAGGCCCAAGATGGGGGACAGGAGGGGCCAGGGCAGCAGGAGGAGCGCAGGCTATGCTGCTCCCGCCCGGGGGTGCCCAACAGGCCCGAGATGGGGTGCAGGAGGGGCCGGGGCAACACAACACACACACGCTGTGCTGCCATTGCCCGAGGCACCCCACAGGCCCAAGATGGGGGGCAGGAGAGCCCGGGGCAACAGGACCAGCGCAGGTGTGCTGCTCCCACCCAGGGCGCCCCACAGGCCTGAGATGGGGGGCAGGAGGACCAGGTGACAACAGGACCTGCACAGGCCGTGCCCTCGCCCTCCCATGGACCCCGTTCAGCGGTTCCCGGTGAATAGTCAGGACAGGAGCCGCCAGGCCTGCGGTGGCCCAGCACCTGCCGTGACCTCCCCAACGGGCTCGCCAGGTCAGGTCAGCGGCCCCGGGCTGGGCTCCCCTGGGAAGCCCCACTCTGCACCCGAGGCTGCTTACCTGCTCGAGGTAGCGGACCAGGGAGTTCTTGTTATCCTCCCAGTAGCTCCTCAGGCTCTCTTCAGGAGGGAACTTTTCACAGCTCAGCTCCACCGTGATCTCGAAGCAGTTGCTGCTGAGGTAGTTGAAGTCCTGCATTCCTGCCAAAGCACCAAGCAGAGAAGTCAGGAGACACCTGCGGCTCCCCCCGCCCCCCGCCCCAGCACCGAGCGGCCTGCTGCGCCGAGGGCCAGGCTCAGGGCCCACCAGTGGGCGCCGGGCAGCCCCCCAGGACACACCACTAACCAGTTGGCTGTCCCTGCCCTCGAGCACCCTCATGGGCTCCCAAGCCCTCACTCGGGCACCCCGCAGCCCTGGAATGGGCAATGCAAACAGGGACAGGAGGATGACAGAGGGGGCATCTCCTGCCCCCCTAAGACAGCACCCCGTTGGGACAGTGTCCCGTGGAGCAGAGTGCCCTCGTGGAAGGCTGGGCGGCAGTGCAGCAGTCCTGGGGCACCACAGGAGGGGATACACCCAGACTGGACGCCCTGGAGAAGTGCGAGGAATGGTCTGGCTTCACTTGCAGCCCCCCTTCCCTGAGGAGGCACAGCTCAGTGCCAAGAGAGCCTTTAGGTCCATGATCTCTCCCATGTGGGAATGTGTGGGTGAGCCGTACCGGACACCACTTCTCTCTCACCCCATCAGAAAACTAGAGGAGGCCCATGACCAGGGCAGGGAATGGCTGGGGGAACAGTAACCAAGATTAAAGAGTGTAGCAAGGGATGTGGGCCTTACTAACCATGCCACAGACGCCATCAGGAAGCCTGCCTGTTCACAGACAGAGAGAAGAGAAAGAAGGCTAACATCAAGAAATAATGGCTGAGAACTTCCTAAATCCAGGAAGAAATCTGGACATCCAAGTTCATAGGTCTCCCAAATATTTCAATTCAAAAAGATCTTCTCCAGGACATATTAGAATAAAGCATTCAAAAAATAAAAATCAAAGACAAAAAAAAATCAAAGACAAAGAGATGATCTTAAAAGGAGCTAAAAAAGGAAAAAAAAAAAAAAGCTTATGACCTACAATAGGAAATTCTACCCTTCCACCCCACCCCCGCACCACCCATGAGGCTATCAGTAGATTTCTCAGCAGAAACCTTACAGGCCAGGAAACAGTGGGATGATATGTTCAAAGTGAAAGAAAGAAACTGTCAACCAGGAAAACTTTACTGAGCAAACTTGTCCTTCAGAAATAAAGGAGACAGACTTTCCCAGATAAAAGCTGAAGGAGTTCATCACATTAGAACTGCCTTACAAGATACGCTGGAAGGTGTTCACTTGAAGCTGAAATGAAAGGATACTAATTTGTAACATGGAAACATATAAAAATATGCAACACACTGGTAAAGGTAGGTATAGGGTCAAATCCAAATCCATAATACTGTGTTATGGTAGTGTGTTAATCACTTAACTCTAGAATGAAAATAAAAGGACAAAAGCATTAAAAATAACTATATCCACAATAATTTGTTAATGAATGCACAACAAGAAAAAAATGTAAACTGTGACATCAAAACAAAATATTGGTGGGGAACAGCATAGAAAGGGTTTTTGCAACTGATCAAAATTAAGCTACCAGCTTAAAATGGATTATTATGTCTATAAGATGTAAACCTCATGCTAACCACAAAGCAAAACTTACAGTAGAGTCACAAAAGATAAAGGTATAAGCACCAAAGCATATCACTAAGGAAATCATCAATTCACAAAAGAGGTCAGAAAGAGAGGAAGAAAGGAACAAGGGAACTACAAAACTGCCAGAAAACAATAAGATGGTATTAATATGTCATTTAAATGTTAATGCTTTAAATTCTCCACAAAGACATAGAGAGTCTGACCAGATTTAGAAAAAAATAAATAAAAGAAAAAAACAAGACCCAACTATATGGTCCCGACCAGAGCCTCAGAGGCTCTCCATCTTTAAGGGTAATAAAAGCTCATAGTGAAGGAATGAAAAAAAAAAATATTCCATGCCAGTGGAAACCTAAAAAGAGTAGAGGTGATTATACTTTTATCAGACAAAATACACTTTAAGCCAAAAAGCTGTAACAAGAGACAAAGATGGTCATTATAAAATGATAGAAGGGGAAATTAATCAGAGGACATAACTCTTTAAAATTATATATGCATTCAACATAGGACCATTTACATATATTAAGCAAATACTAACAGATCTGAAGGGAAAAATAGACAACAATATAATAATAATAGAAGACTTCAAAATCCCAGTTTCAACAATGAATAGCTTATCCAGTTGGAAATCAATAAGGAAACAATTGCCCTTGAACCGTATGTCAGACCAAAGGTACCTAATAGACATACGTGGCACACTCCATCCAATAGCAGAATTACACATTCTTCTCAAGCCCACGTGGAATATTATCCAGGATAGATTCACAATTATGTAGAAAATTAAAACAATGCCCTTCTGGACAACCAATGGGTCAAAAAGGAAATCAAACGGGAAACCAAATATCATGAAACAAAAAAAAAAAAAGAAAAAGAAAGAAGAAACAAAGAAACAAAGAAACAAAGAAACAAACAAAGAAAGAAATACAGCATACAAAAACTCGTGGGATGAGGTAAAAGTTCTAAGAGGAAAGTTTATTACAATAAATGGCTGCATTGAGAAAAAAGAAGGATCTTGAATAAACAATCTAACTGGATACATCAAGGAACTAGAAAAAAGAAGAATAAACTAAGTCCAAAGTTAGCAGAAAGAAGGAAAAAACAAAGATCTGAGCAGAAACAAATGAAATACAGACAAGAAAAAAGGAAACATCAAAAAATCTAACAGCCAGGCTGGGTTTTTTTGTTTTGTTTTGTTTTAAGATAAACAAAACTGACAAACATTTAACTAGAGTAAGAATTGAGAGAGAAAACCCCAAAAATAATCAGAAATGGAAGTGGAGACACTACAACTGATACGACAGAAATATAAAGGATCTTAAGAGACCACTATGAAGGATTATTACCAACAGTTGGATGACTTAGAAGAAATGAGGAAATTTCTAGAGACATGCAGCCTCCCAACACTGAATTATGAATTATGAAGAAGCAGAAAATCAATTACGAGCAGGAAGACTGAACCAGCAATCAAAATTTTCCCAATAAAGAAAAGCCGAAGACAATATGGTTTCACTGATGAATTCTACCAAACATTTAAAGAAGAATTAACACCAATCCTTCTAAAATTCTTCCTTAAAAGAAGAGGAGGAAACCCTCTCAAACTTATTTTACAAGTCAGCATTACCTGGATACCAAAGCCAGAAAAGGACATTATAAGAAAAGAAAACTACAAGCCAATAACCCTGATGAATACGGTTGCAAAAATTCTCAACAAAATACTAGCCAACTGAGTTCAACAGCACATTGAAAGGATCTTACAGAATGAGCAAGCGGAGTTTATATTTGGGATGCAAGGATGGTTCAACATACGCAAATCAACAAATGGGAAACATCACATTAATGGAAGGACAGATAAAAACCATGATCATCTCAAAGATTGCATAGAAAGATTTTTGACAAGATTCAACACCTTTTCATGATAAAAACTCTCAACAAACTGGATGTAAAAGGACCGTAACTCAACATAATAAAGGCTGATTATGACGAGTCCACAGCTAACATCATACTTAATAGTGAAAGGCTGAAAGCTTTTTCTCGAAGATCAGGAACAAGAAAAAGATGCCCATTTTCACCACTCCTATTCAATATAGTATTAGAAGTCCTACTCAAAACAATCAGGCAAGAAAAAGAAATAAGACATCCAAATTGGAAAAAAAAAATGAGGTAAAACTGTCTTTGCGGATGATACGATCTTAAACGTAGAAAGTCCTAAAGATTGTACTAAAAAAACTCTTGGAACTAATTAAACAAAATCATTAAGGTTGCAGGCTACAAAACCAACACAAAAATTGGTTTCATTTCTATAACTAACAGTGAACTATTCAAAAAAACAAAGAAAACAATCCCACTTACAATAGTATCAAAAAACAAATAGGAATAAATTTAACCAAGGAGGTGAAAGATCTATAAACTGAACACTATGACACTAATGAAAGAAACTGAAGAAGACACAAATAAATGGAAAGACATCCTGCATTCACAGATCAGAATTAATATTATTAAAATGTCCATACTACTCAAAACCGTCTACAGATTCAATGCAATCCCTATCAAAATTCCAATGGCATTCTTTTACAGACAGAGAAAAAAATACTAAAGATTGTATGGAACCATGAAAGGCACCAAATAGCCAAACCAATCTTGAGATATAAGAATAAAACTGGAGACATACTTTGTGATTTCAATCTATACTCACAAAGCTACAGTAATCAAAATGGTATGATACTGGCATAAAAAAACAGACACATAGATCAGAGATACAGAATCAGGAGCCCAGAGATAAATCCTGACACATAAATATTAACAGTTAATAATATTTGACACAGTTAACTAATATTTGACAAGGAAACCAAGAATACTTAATGGAGAAAGGCTCATCTCTTTAATAAAAGCTGCTGGGAAAACTGGATATCCACATGCAAATGAAAGACATTGGAATTTTATCTCATACATACACAAAAATTAACTCAAAATGGATTGAAAAAGTAAATGTAAGACCAGAAATCGTAAAGCCACTAGAAGAAAACATAGGGAAAAACCTCCTGGTCATTGGTCTTGGCAACAGCTTTTTGGATATGGCAACAAAACACAAGCAAAAAAAGGAAAAAGAAACAAGCAGGACTACATCACACTGGAAACTTCTGCCCGACTCACCGCCAGGTACACTATACCAAGCAGCACCGTTGGTTGTTCCATCTATGAAGCTGCTGTCGTCATCATTCTTGCGACACGGGGGCCGGTTAGGGTCAGACATGGGTGGGTTAAAAGAGGAGTACGCCCGAGCCAAGCTTTGGAAAATGGCATCATCCGGGCAGGAGCTATATTCATGGGCACTACCTGGAAAATAAACCCACAAGGTTAAAGAAATGTACATTCTACTTATGCCTTGAAAGTTTCATGAGAAAAGGTGATAAACTTACAGTAAACTAGACCTGAGTAAAGAGGAGATTTCCATTGCTAAAATTTTTAATTAAAAAAATTTTTTTTTTAATTTCTAAAAGGTAACCTCAAAACAACAACAAAAACATAAAGGTAACCTCATAGCCACCATGAAGCATTCTCACACATAATTTTCAGGATTTGAGTTTAAAGTCTAAAAAAAAAAAATCCCCTATGGGTAATATAGAACTAAATAATATATATTTTGATACACTGTGTTCTTCTTCCTATCTGATCAAATATGCCAGGCTTTTAAATTTCCCAGCTATGGAGGAACTACATAATCTCTCAATTGTAACGATGTCTCACCGAAGACTTTCTTCGGGGCTCCAAGTTTCCAATATCTAAAATCACCATGGTGTGCCTACAAAGAACAAATTCCTCAGAGGCCCCGGGAGATCCATACAAAGCAGGAAGTTTCTTGGAGCAACAAAGAGCACATTGAAAACCATTATCTGGCTAAAGCTTGCTGGGCCTGAAACTTAACTAAAACTAGCTGGGGAAAGTCAGAGCACCACTTCGCCTCCCTGGCACCACTAGAAACAGTTCCGAATGCAAAAGCGTGAATGCGTGGAAAGACATGGAGAGATCCACCTGGGCCCTGATCAAGCTCCAAAAAAGGGCCACTTCCATTGTAAGCCATCTTGTACACAAACCTATGTAATTTCCGTTTCTCTCGATTCATCCAGGGTTCAAGAGTGACCCAAGCTCATGACATCTGTTGTCTCCCCTTCTCTTGCATTCCGTCAAGATCACATTTCTCTTCAACTAAACTTATTAAAAAGTTAGTTCTTTCCTGCCAAATATTTATACCAATGCCACATGAAATAAACATACATACTTCTACAGGTAAAATCACTGAATGGCCTGTTCCTTGAAAGAATATTATAGAAATCGTCCTATAAAACCTCATGAGGCAGTTGTAACCCTTGAGCTGTTTGAGAAGCAGGAGGAACACCTACCACTCCGGGTCTCGTCATAGGGGTAGTTGGCCACGAGGTCTCCTCCATGGAGATTGGCAGAGAGCACGAAAGGAATATCCATAATCCAATGAATGACTGCCTTGGTCTCAGGAGCAAGCTGTATGAAAGATTAGAGATGAGAGGCTTATAAATTTGGTTATCAAAAATAAATAAATAAAAATAAAAAAATAAATTTGGTTATCGTTGGTGGGATCACTTGACAGGAAAGACACAGAGAAGGAAAAACAAAACCAATAATCGAAAGCTGGTCATAGGTCACATTTCAAGCGCTTTGTGGTGGTCGTCATAAGAATAAAAAAGATTCCAGCAAGACCGTTTCCATCTCTATCTTTCTCATTTATAATAAAACATATTTCAATGCTGTTTGAATTTCCTTAAAAGTTGTACTTTTGTGAGCCACCAGCTATTTTTCCTCTTTGTGTTTTCGTTTAGCTTTTTTCTCTTTGAAACTTGAAAACCATCCTGCAAATTCTGCAACACTTCCACCTGATCTTGGTTAATAAAAGCTAAGAACAAGACAAGGAGAAAAGAAAATAGTGGGACTGAAGACAACAAGGTTCTCTATGATAGTTAAATGCTAGAAATATATGGTAGATTTTATTTCCTTTATTATTACTAATTTTTATTTATTATTTTCTTTTATTGCTTACTATTTTTCCGATTCCCTCCAGTACCTCTAACATCACCCCTATAAAAAAATATCAACTGGGTCTCTGAAAACTCACTGTAAAATATCAGCTTACTTTGGGAAAACCATCTTAAAGGCAGAAGTTTCAAAAATTCATGTTGGTTTTTTTTTATTTTTTATTTTTATTTTTTTTTACGTAAATTCAATTTGCCAACATACAGTATAAAACCCAGTGCTCATCCCATCAGGTGTCCTCCTTAGTGCCCGTCACCAAGTCACCTCATCCCCTTATGCTCTTCCACCTCTATAACCCTTTGTGTCCCAGAGTCAGGAGTCTCTCATGTTGTCTTTTAACGACTCACAGCCCCTCATATCCTGATAGCAAAAGAGAAGAGGAAAGAAATTTATACCAAGAATTAATTTGGAGCCAGATGCTTGATTCATATGGTGAGTTTTTAATAGCAACAAGAAAGACTCTCAAACTCCCAAATACCTCATTGATTAAAAAAAAAAAAAAAATCCTGGAGGTGTGATCCATACTGTTCTCTGGGACAGAAACTCTAACAGCCTCAGTAGGGTTTGATGGTTACAAGATCTTATATTTCTGTATCACTGTTCAGTTTATGAATGAGCTTCACAGCATCCCCGGTGGAGAAGCAAAGATAGTCATCCCCCTCTCACAGGAAGAGCCTAGGGGCTGAGCGTGTTACTAATATGTCCAAGTTCACACAGCTAAGAATTCAAATCCGGTCTACAAAACTATAAAGACTACGTCTTTGTCAGTATAGCAACTTTCATGTAACAAAACTAACCTATTTTTCACGTAGGCAACTAATAATCATGAAAAAGTGTGACTTAGAATGGGGTGTTGTTTTAATTATTTATTTGCTTGGTTTATCTCATTCTGCCTACAAAAAAAAATGTCTGTTGCAAAAAATGTAAAGGAGACAAACACAAAGAAAGAAGATTATAATGACCCATAATTTTACCATCTAGAGATACAAACTGCTTTTACACGTATCTTTCTCAGTCTTTTTCCAACACTCTTATATAATTTTTTAAATGTGATAATTTATGTAAAATTTGATACGTGGCCTTTTTTGTTTGACAACAAGTAACAAATACTTCTGCATGTCCTTGAATAGCCTTCTAAGTTACTATGCTAATAGCTGAGTAGTATCCAGTATATGGATATAACATTCTTAAACATGAACAGAGTAATAGCTAATATTTACTATAGACTTTCTGTGTGACACATTGGAAGTCTCACATCCACCCTGTGAGATAAGGATGACACGTACTCCTATTTTGCAGATGCATAAACTGAGGCACAGAGAAGTCAGGCAATGGCATGAGACCAGTCGGTTCTGATTGGCGGAGCCTGGACTCCAGCCCAGCCTGGACTCAAGTTCCAGAGCGCTAACAACCTCCAGTTGCTGGGAGGGGTTGGGGAGAAGGGGAACATGTTGGTCTGAGGGTACACACTTTCAGTTATAAGACGAATGAGCTCTGGGGATCTAACACACAGCATGGTGACTTCATAACACTGCGTTGCATACTTGAAATTTGCCAAAAGAGTAGATCATAAGCATTTGCACCACAAAAGAAAACTAAAGTGACTATGTGAGGTGATGGACATGTTAATTTGCTTGACTGTGATAATCAATTCATAATGTCTGCTCCGTCAAATCATCACATCGTACACCTTACATCTATACAATTTTTTATTTGGCGACTATACTTCAGTAGAGCTGAGGGATAGTTCTCCAACTGTTGGGTACTGAGTTGTTTACTATAGAAAAAATATTCTACGAGAACAGTAGAATTGTAGCTACTCCTTGTGCAGATCTGTACTTTCCTTTGGGAAATTTTCCTAGAGACGGAACGACTTAACCCAAAGCTAAGCATCGTTTTTAATTTTATAAAATGTATCCCACATTGCCTGTCTATAAAATACAGCAGTAGCATATTAAGCTTGCCACTTCTTATCACTCTTACCAACATGGGACATGTGGTTTTTTAAAATATGTCACTTCGATACATGACAAGTTAGAATTCTTTTAAATGTGCATTCTTTGATTAACTAATAAAACTAGAACAATTTTTACATGTTTAGTAGCCACTTATGTGTATTCTTTGGTGACATATTTATACATGGTTTAACTGATTTTTTACTGAAATGCTGATCCCTCGCTAATTGCAAGAGTTATTTATCTAGTAAAAACACTAACCCTCTATATTATGGATATTTTCTGAGTTTTTCATTGGTCTTTCAAATTCATTTTTTTCAAATTTAATGATAATTATAATAATTAAAATACAGAATATCAAGATATTTATGTTGTCAAATCTACTGATCTTTTCTTTATGGTCTCTACTTTTGCATTTTATTCATTCAATAACTATTAAATGGTCACCATATGCCAATTCTTCTATATAAGGGATTTAGAAAATTCTATCCCCTTCTAAAAATTATATACTTACCAAAATTTTCTTTTTCTAGGTTCATACTTTTAATATAGATTTTATGTTGATCTGTGCTGAATTTGTGAGATGGATTCCTCTCAATTTCATTTACTGAATTATCCTTTCTTTCCACAATGGTCTGAAAAACTCCCTTGCTATATGCTAAATTCTTATACGTACTTAAATTTGTTTTTGGAATTCAAATTAATTTAAATTAAATCCAGTTCAAGTTTTTATTTAAATCAACATTAAAATAACTGATACAGAACATGGACTCAAAAAAAATCTTTAATCTAAAAAATAGCCATACTTTTCTTTGCAATGAATTTACGGTTTATTAGGCTCAACTCAAAAAAATGGCAGTAATATTATATGTAGGAGTTTAACACATTCTTTTATATTACGTTCAAAGTTTTCCTTGCAGTGCTGAATTTCTTTTCAACCCTCTCCCTTATACATCTCTTTCATTCCTCCTATTTGCTCTACCCCAGTGAATGGTACCAACAAGTATTTCTATGAGTTCAGAAGAGACATCTCTGTGGTTTGGAGAATCATTGAAGACTTTAGGAAGGAGGTGGAATTCCACGATGCCTTGGGGGAAAAGAAGACAGGCTTTGGATAGGAGGAAAAGAGTAGTAAAAACTGAAAGGAAGACAGTACAGTGGGGGAAGCAAGGACTGGTTTGAGTGGGAGTTCAGGAGGCAAAGCCATACTGTGGGAGACTACGCTTCTCTAATTATTCACCTGAAAGTGTTCAAAACAGTGTGCATGGTATGCTTCCACATATTTATAGATTGGTACACGCATAAAACATAATTATAAAGGATACATACCGAGATGAGGATGCTGGTCATCTAAGACTATAGGGTAATGGGTTATTTTTTCTCCTCATTTACATTTACTAATTTTGTAATACAACATTTTTTTAAGAAACCTTTTTGGAACAAATATAACACACAGTCCTGAACAGACGAAGTCACAGCTGGCGATTAGGTTCAGCCTATTGCTAATTCTTATACATACACTATTGCTAATATACATGCTACCAATGTGCTCAAAAGCAAGTGAGTAAATTCCACAATTTGACAAATTAAATTCAGTTTGTCTCTGGCTACTAACAGAATTTTTTAGGCTGATTAAATGCTGTGATCCCTGGGGTACTGTGATTATGTATTTAAGTAACCCATAAAGAAGCCTCTGGAATATCTCTAAGATTGAGCCCCAGGAGAATCTAGAACCAATTATGACCTATCTTTAAAATTTCCATTTAAAGACCGTCAATATAGCTTAAATGTTATGCTCTATAATTAGATGGCTTTGGCTCTTAAAATATATTAAAGCTATATTTATTCCCTTTTCTTTACAACTCTAGCCATTAGAGACAAGTGTAAATTTAATAAAATTGTTTGACTTATTTTAATCCACTCTGTTTTCAAGCAATCCAGGTCCAGGCTCATGTCCTGAGCCCAGATAACAGTGGAGGTGACCCGGCCAAAGAGCTCAAGAACAGATGAGGAAAGACAGCAAGGAGAACTCCAGGACAGCAAGAGAGAGCTTTTATTCAGAGGTTCAGAGGAACAAGGAAAGCATCCGGAACATGTGGTGAAAATTCTGATTTCTTTTCATCACCCATTCCCACAGCATACACACCCCAGAACTCCCCAAATCAGCATTTGTAAAAGTCTGCATTTTTAACCTCAAATTCCTACAAAGCTTGAAATGCTGAGTGAAATAAGTCAATCAGAGAAGGACAAACATTATATGGTCTTATTCATTTAGGGAATATAAAAAATAGTGAAGGGGAATAAAGGGGAAAGGAGAGAAAATAAGTGGGAAATATCAGAGAAGGAGACAGACCATGAGAGACTCCTAACTCTGGGAAACGAACAAGGAGTGGTGGAAAGGGAGGTGGGCAGGGGGTGGGGGTGACTGGGTGACAGGCACTGTGGGGGCACTTGGCGGGATGAGCACTGGGTGTTATGCTATATGTTGGCAAATTGAACTCCACTAAAAAATAAATAAATACATAAATTTAAAAAAAAACATTATAAGGGCAGATTGGCGGAGGCCAGAGACAGCATTGGGGGGATGGGGAAGGAAACGGGTAAAGGTGGTCAGAAGGTATAAACATCCAGTTATAAAAGAGGTCATGGATGTCATGTACAACATGGTGACACTGTGTTCTATATTTGAAGTTTTAAGAGAGCAGATCCTAAATGTTCTACCACAAGACAAAAATCACAACCATGTATGGTGACTGATGATAACTACGGTGGTGATCATTTCACGATCTGTACAAATACCAAATCATCTTGCTGCGCATCTGAAACTAATAGTATGTTACGTCAACTACATCTCAATAAAAATAAAACAAACATAGAAGCTACTGTAAGGGACAGAGAAACTGAGAAGAGGGAGCAAGAAAAGGCCAGATGTGTCCTGACATTAACGAAATGTCCACTACGTGTCTCCTACCAGGCAGCGTCTTAACACGGTCTCGATCTTAACGACAAAGATGGAAAAAAAGAGAAGATGAATAATATGAAGAATATCATCCCAGGTTTACTGAAGATTCAGTCCAATGCAAATAAATCTTGCTACTGTTCCAGAAAAGAGACTAAAAAAAAAAAAGAGAGAGACTAAATTTTAATTTTTACCTATTTTTCTTTTAACTTACCTTTACTCAGAAAAGATAAGGTTTTTTAATTTTTTAAATAAAAACTCAAACTCTAGTTTTGGGGGGGGGGGGCACCTGCCGTGGCTCAGTCAGTTAAGTAGCAGACTCTTGATTTCCGCTCAGGGCATGATCTCGGGGTCATGGGATCAAGCCTGCCATCGGGCTCCATGCTCAGCAGGGAATCTGCTTGAGACTCTCTCCCCCTCTCCCTCTGCCCTCCCCCTGCCCACTTGCATGTGCACGTGTCCGTGCTCTCTCTCCAAAATTAATAAATCTTTTTAAAAATCCTAATTCTTTTTAAAGTGCCATGAGCATACATCTCCTTAAAAATTATTGCTTAAGCTAGAAATAAGAAAAGACCTAACAGCGATCATGCAAATACTGCACGGGCTGTGCTGGGGAAGGGGAGGGTAGTGCTGATGGAAAGCCTACAGCCCTGCACGGAGGCTGCCCATCAGATATCCCGCGGACATGGGTTTATTTCAGAGATTCCTCTACAGAAGGTGGCAGGCATCACCTTCCCACCGCTCGGACTCACTAAAGACAGCACAGGCCCGAGGGCAGTGGGGAGAGTCTGCAGGTGGACATCAGCACGCAGCTTCCACCACGCGTTTTCATTTCTGCCCCACCCTCATAGCTTATCACATAGGACTTCCCTCTTTTTACCTCTGGAAAAAAAAAAAAAAAAAAAGACAGTCCTCTGTCTTTCCAGCTTTCCCTGCAGCCAAGAAAGATGTATCTGTGACTCAGACGCAAGAACATTTAAGTCCCTCACTTATCAGGTTCTACTAGAATCCTCAGGCCCTGGCAGTCCTTTCCTGAGACCAGTTTCCACTCGTAGGCCTCGCCTAAGTTTTCTGGAGTGAATCCTAAATATAGGCAGGAAAGTTTTAAGAACTTTACACCAATAATCCAGGACCCTCCCTACGTCCTGGTTCCTCTGTCTAGTGCCCAAGTGCATGAGGAGTGCTTGTCTGGAACTCCAGCCGTGGATTTTTAGATACTGGGATTTGCTTGCCAGGCTGCATTGCATTCGTTCATAACAGGTTTTCAAGCTACTGTGTGTCAGACTCAAATATAAACTATGATTCTTGCAACCAAAAGACTGAAATCTAGAATTAAAAGGGAAAAGAACTACATAAATAATTATAAGAAATACAAAGCCACAAGCACCGTGCTGTATGTATTTTTAAAGGATGTAAGGGAAGCTTAACAGGGTCTGTCTGGAAGAGCAGAGGGCTTCACAGAGGAGGTGACGCAGAAGGAAACGGAAGAGCATTCCAGGCAGTTGTAGCAACATATACAAAGACATAAAATTATTAGAAAATGGTTTGTTTAGGGAGCAAAATGGAGTCGGTGGCCTCGAGTACATGGAATACCAGAGCCCAATTAAGGAGCGAGTGAGCCAGCAGCTGCCAGGGGCCAAGGGCACTGTGATCAAATGGAGAAATTGTATCCCACGTTCTCACTTAGGAAAGGTACAAACAGGGGTTGATGAGCCAGAGCAGAACTGCCTGAAAAAACAGAAGCAGAACTGAGAGCTGCCAACAGCAGTTCGCCACCTTCCCTCCACGATGGGCCCTGCCTCTCCAAGCAGTTGACAACAATGTTCAAACAATACTGGTTTGAAGGAGCATCAGATGTTCAGTGAACGTGTCAATGCGTCCATCTAACTCTGGGGGACATAACACAGAGTATGGAGAAATTAGGCTGAAACGGTAATAAAAGTTGTAGGTAGGGCCTGACTTGAAGCACTTGATAAATGTTAACTCACTCAATCCTTATAACCTCCCTGGGGGGAGATACCATTATCATCTCCCTATTGCAGATGAAGAAGCAGAAGCACATAGTGGTTAAATATAATTTTCCAAAACCCATGCAGAAAATAGGGAGCCGGGATTTGAACCAACGTGGTTGCCCCCAGAGTCTCCAGACTAAACCATCACATGATTCTGACATACTGAGCTTTTGCTTTATCCTCTGAACGGTGGAGAGCCGGCAAGGTTTTTTAAGCAATGGGGCAATCATTTGTGTATGAAGATCACCCGGGAGGAATTCAAGAAGACTGAACAGAGTTGGGAGAGGGCGAACCCAAAACAAGAACAGGGGGCGACTGTGCTCATCAGAGCAGGAGACAATGGGGGCCCAAACCGAACAGTGGAATGAGTCTGCGGAAGAGGGGAGCCTGAACAAGTGTTAGGGCTCTCACATCACTGAGATCTGCCAACGGATTGCTGGTGGGTGGTGACAGTGATGGAAAAAATCAAGGCTCTGATGACAGGATAAAGGAGAAAACACTGTTTTCGTATGGAAAATGTTTGGTTTTGAGGTTCTGGGTGTCATCAGATAAGGGACTCAGTGAGCAAGTAAAATGGAGAAAGAGAACACCACAGGAGATGGATCTATAGGGAAAGAGATAAAGGTAGCAGATGGCACCCCGAAGGCCAGTACTTAGCCAAGTAGGGGACATGGGGAAAGAAGCTGAGTGGGAATTGGAACAGCAGTAGAAGGGGCAGGAGAAAGCAGAGTTGTACAAAGCAAAGAGGGGGAAGGTTCTGGAAAAGAAGAAAAAGATTAACTGTGTGGAATGCTGTGATGTGCTGATACAGGGCCTCTGAAAGGGCCATGACGACGTTCAAGACACCCACAATGGGTTCCTTCCACCTGTCCCCTCCCCCATGTCCTATTCCCCCGACCCCCTGCCCAATTCCAGGGGCTCCGACCGAGACTTTCTCAGAGCTGGCTAACTATCCCACACAAGCTGTGACATTACTGCTCCAGCCTCCATTATGATGAAGATACTAGAACATACTTCCTTAGGCTAGAAGACCGAACCCAAGACAACGACACATGTTCTCTACCTTTGTGTTCTGATCCACAATCTTCTTCAGATTTTTCAACAGATGATTATTCGGACCACCTTCTTTCTCATTAACATAAACTATCCTATCCAGGTCTGGGAAGTTCCGGTTCAGATCTATTCCCTGGGCATTGCTTCGACCCACAAACCAGTCCTTGAGCTCACCAGGCTAAAAAAAAAAAAAAAAAAAAAAAAAAAAATCAAAAGGAAACATAATAAGTTATTTATTATTATTGTTATTATCTAGTTAAGGTCTTCATTAATAATTTTTAAAGTAATTTACTAGGATCAGTTATTTATTTCAACAATACCCTCTCAAACTGTGTTTTCACTCTTGCTGACAAATCCATGAATGTATCAGGTTTAAAGTATTTGTTATGATTATTTTGAAAATATTTTCAATGAATAATACCTTAAATATTAATAACAATCACATTTAAATGGTATTTATCATCAAACTGCAAAAAAAATCTATATATGTTAGTAATAGATGATGCCTTTCAAAGCATGCCAGTCCGTATTTGATTTTAAGTAAAATATTCATTGGCTCTGTAAATCAGAGCAATCTATTTTTTAAATATTCAAAAGAACAAATTACTAAAGAAGACTGAAGGTTTAAAATGAGTTTAACATGAACTATGTACATATTAGATACCTCTCTTTTACAGTTTTCATGAAAAAAAAAATGAGCCCTAGAACAAAGATCAAGAGCTTTTGTAAGTTGAGAAATGTCTGTTCAATTTCAAATCGTACATTTCAGTATTGGTATAATCTAGAAATTTAAGGAATTTTCAAGACATTTACCCATATTCCACAATGTATATGTTCTTATTTTACTATTAAGTTACACATTATCTATGATATAGAGCTAATTCCCATATCTTGAAGTTATATAAGCTCAGATACCTTAGACTCCAAAGAATAAGAATCCGTAACAGAAAATAACAATGATCATCTTTTGCCTGTTTTTACAGCTCCAAATACCACCTTTAAAATAGTATACAACTTAATTCTCTATGTTGTTAGAATTTTTCTTTTATGACTTTAGAAATTGTATCAATGTTATTTCCAGAAATTCTCTAGGTTTCTTACAATGTCAAACTGTCAGGTCACTGGATGTTTTATTTTTAAGGTACAAACTGACTTCCTAACTATAAGTAAAATACTAATACTCCCATAAAATAAGGAAATTGCTTCAAACTGTGGAAAACAACTCATGTCCTCCATGCCTGTGCAAACAAAAAGGGAACACAGGCCATTTATCTTCTCTTAAGATGTCTTACTTTCCAGCGTCTCTAACAGTCAAGATTGTATTATAATTTAATTTTAAAGGCAGAAGGGGTTGTTGTTGATGGTGGTGGTGGGTTTTTTTGTTTGTTTTACTTCCCTCACCATATGTACCAGAATTAAACACCAGGGAAACACTGATCCGGCCTCACTTTTTCTTCCTTGATGTCAGCAGAGGGCGCTAGGACATCACCTCATTCAGAGACCTCCACTGTGTTATGGCCCCAACCTTGGCGGTAGTCAGGCTTTCAGCTTTTTAGAGGAAAGGAAATTTAGTCACAAACATGAGTGAATAAATATGGCTATTTACCAGCAAAACGCAATGCTGACTTATTAACAAAACCTCTCACTCCCAATCCCTGCTGAAGCCACTCTCACCGGCCAGGCCTTATCTTCTGAAATGTCTTCTCCCCGGGAGGCAGGGGAGCATCTATCACTTCCATCACCTCCCCGTCCTATCTGTAAGATTCACGTGCATGTGCTACTACAGAAGAGCACACACCTATGAACACCAGGAAAGGAAGCATGCCCTGCTCTGGGCTGGCGGGAACTCACCTGAGATGCGGCCTTCTCGAAGCCGTCCGGGTTGAGGGAAGGCATGATGTGGATCCGGGTGCTGTGGATCAGCTTAACGATCGTCTCGTTGCCCTTCTGGTACTCGTTGCACAGGTACTGGGCCAGGAAGATGAGCAGTTCCCGTCCCACAGCCTCGTTCCCGTGCATATTCCCAATGTATTTAAATTCAGGCTCACCTAAAAGACCAAAAATCAATGACATGAGGATACTTTCTACGGCTCCAAATAGAAGACAGACGGCACACGGCTAAGGAGTACGTTGTGTCTCTACTGACCTACTACACACAGCTGACGGCTTCTTCTCTTTCCAGAATTGATACCTAAGACAAATCTACTTGAAATGTCAAAATATTCCTAACATTTCTGTCCTTCTAAGTCTGTCTCCCCAAGGACTGAACTGTGTCTTCCCCAAATTCCCCAAATTCATTGGAGGTGAAGCCCTAACCTTCAATGTGACTGTATTTGGAGACAGGACCTATTCGGAGATAATTAAAGTTAAATGAGACCATGAGGGCGGGACCTTAATCTGTACAAGAGGAGGAAGAGACACCAGCGCTGGCTCTCCTCTCCCCCCAGGTGCGTGGAGGAAAGGCCACGTGAGGACATGTACGGGGAGGAGAGCACCTGCAAGAGGACAGGGTCTCAGAAAACCACCTTACTGGTACCTTGACCTTGGAGTTTGAGCTTTCAGAACTGTCAGAAAATTAACTTCTGCTGCTAAAGTCACCCAGTCTGTGGTGTTTTGTTAGGGCAGCCTGAGCCGACAAATATACCATCCCACCCGCAATAAATAATAATAACAATAATTCATCGCATGCCTTCTGCTGGCTGAACACGGACCTTTGCATTTTTTTATTTAGTTCTCACCAAACATCTAAAAGTCGGTATTATTTTATAATGAGCAAAGTGAAGTTCAGGCTGCTGAAGAGGCCTGAACGCGGTAACATAGCCCATGAAGCCAGGATCTATAAATGCTGATCTTCGCATTTAGTTGAAAGCCTATACTTTTTCTTTTTCTTTTATTTTTTTTTCTTTTTTTTAATCCTTAGTGATTAAAAGCATGAACTTCTGGACCCAGACTGCATGGCTTCAAACCCTCGCACCAACTCTTACGGGTTGGCCTTGAGCAAGTTACTTCGGCTCTCTGTGGCTCTCTTTTCCCACCCCTAAAATAAGAGAACAGATCCTACCCGTAAGATTATGGTAAGAACTGAGTGAAAGAATAAATATGAATGCGTAGAACAGTGCCTGGCAAATAACAAGTGCTAAGTGTTTGCTATAATCATTATTATTGTGATGAAGATGACGGTGTCCTAATATCGGCGTGACATGCTTTACCACGTATAATCTAATTTTCTCTTTATAACAGCCCACTAAAATAGGGAAGACAGACATTTTTATTGTCATTATTGTACAAATGCAGGCCCAAGAGAATATGTTTTGCTGAAGGGCTCAGAATTCAGACTGAAGTCACTATTGCCTGTTTCTGTTGTTCTCCACTGTTTAGGAGTAATTAAATTGCAAGGCATAGCAGCGAATGATCCAAATTAATCCTGTTGTTTGGCTCCCTCTGCTTCATCCATCCCCCAGGCCCAACCTCTGCAGTGGAAAGGATTTTTCCACCTACAAAACCACTAGGACTGCTCACCTCTCCCCCACCCCCCAACTCCCCCCCCCCCCCCGGGTAAAAGAAAAACTGGAATTATTTTTCTCCTGGAAAAACGTCATCTAAATATCCTTTGCGTGAGATTCCTGATGGTGTGACTTAAATGACTGCTAACCACAGAAAACCACGTCCTTGTGTGACCTCTCGGCCTGCATCTGAGTTAATCTTAATCTAAGGATCAGGCCGGAGCAGGATCAGGGCTATTTATATGCCCCTCATTTTCTTACTTTGAGGGAGAGGCGCTGGTAACACTATGCCTGGGCACGTACCCGCATAATGCATGAGAAGAGATGTTTTCTTTGCTTCTGATTTCAAAAGTCATAATGACCTTCCTCCTTTCTGTCAAACTCATGTGCTTTACTCCTTCCCCTTACTGGATATTAATTTGATCGAGGCACAGAAGGGAGGGTAGCAGCCCGTTACAAAAAGAAATGGAGAGCAAGTGGCCAGAGGAGCATTACAAGCCTATCTTGCAAAGGTATTGAGAGAAGATTCCACTGTGGGAGGCAGGGGACCCTGCCTGTTACCCCACCCAGCGCTGTCTGAGGCCTCAGTCACTCGAAGGAGCTTGGCCCGTAACCCGTAAGAGAAGATGAGCTCACTGAGATTTCGTATTTCTTCTCCCAATTCAAAAAAAAAAAAAAAAAGATATATATCATTTAAGGGAGACGTAGCAACGTCATACCCTCTCAGCCTCCCCCAGGGTGTGGCGGTCAGTGCACCTGTCTGAATCTGAATGCGCTCCCGGTTCTGCCACAAGCCACACCACCCCCTATTGCCCCAACGCCTGATTTTCAAAGTGAGAAAATTCCCAGGGTGGCTTTGTTTCTTCAGCTCTGTAGGAAATTGCTCTCAAAAGCAAATCTGCCCCACAACGTCTGCCACATTTGTGAGGAGACAGCAGTAAGAGTAACAACAGCAATGCTCTCGTCCGACGCGAAGATAGAACCGTAAAGGTCATTTTATAGAAGACAATGTATGGAAATAAAATTCAAGGCACGTATGACTTGGCGAAAGAAAAGGCAAGTGTATTTGCATCCTCCTCTGACTCACAGAACGAGTTACGTTGCTAGATACGCTGTCACCAGAATCCAGAAGAGCTGCGCTAAGCCTACGGACGCGTCTTGTGAGGTGCCGAGGAGCTTCGGTGCTGTTGGAGTACCCGTGTCCACCCTGCCGTTCGACGACGCCACGGGAGACCCGCAAGCCAGCAGAGCAGCACCTTAAGTTCAGGGAATGTGGGCTCTGGAGGAGGACACCAGCACGCGGGGTTCGGCGGTGGGGCAATGATGGGGGGACGTTGGGCACATGACCAACCAGCTGCAAGGTTCTCAAGTGGCAGAGTCCCATCACCTTCTCCAGCCCTTCGCCCTCTCCTCTTCACCGCCCACCCCACTGGGTCCCCTCTACCCAAAACCCATCAGCTAAGGAGCCTCCCATCTACTTTCACCGTAAAAGCTGGAATCCTCTACAAGAGCTGTAGCTCCCCCGGGTGTGGCCTGGCCCACCTCCCAGTCCCCTGAGGACCTGCTCACCTGTCCCTGGGCCACGGGGCTCTGGCCCACCAAGGCTGCCCTCCCGGTCACCCGCACGTTTTGCCCTGTCCTTCCCTGATCTGGAGAGCCACCGCTTCCTGGGCCACCTGAGGTCTGCGTCCAGCCCTTTTGTTCTCTCCAATACCTGAGTGTGAGTACACACCTGCCCCCGGGTGACCGTCCCCCAGGCCGCGCGGGCAGCCAGAACTCGGGGACAGGCTCCTGCCCACAGCGTCCGCATGGCCCACAGCCAATGAGCTCCCGAGGGAACGAGTAAACTGCCCCCCGGGTGGCTGAGGGCCCCGCGAGCCCTTGGGGTGCAGGTGCAGCCACGCGGGGAGCACCAGCCGGGAGCTGGACGGGCCGGGCAGGTAGCGGGTTGGCACCCTGGGGGCAACACTTAGGGACCTCGGGGCTACTGGGCGCCCCCCCCCCACTGTGAGCAGCCGATGTCCCAGGAAGACAGCAATTTCCGTGGTCACAAGACGCCCCAAAACCTCCAGGCAAGGACTCCCGAGGCTGGCTGTGTCCGAAAGTCTAAACAAGGAGCTCAGGAGACATTCTGCCCTCCCGACCTTTAATTTAGAAGGAAGGAGAATAAAATCGAAGCCATTGGCCTTTGAATAAGCCCGTGTGTCAGCTCACCAACCCGGAGGGTACAGTCCGCAGATGACCTGGGCACCCCTGTGTGCGGCCTCTGGGGACGGAGGATGGCGGGGACACCTGTGTGCGGGCTGCAGGGGATGTAGGTGGCGGGGACACCTGTGTGCGGGCCACTGAGGACACAGCCCGGTGGGGACACCTGTGTGTGGGCTGCAGGGGATGGAGGTGGCGGGGACACCTACCTGTATGCAGGCTGCTGGGGAGGGAGGATGGCGGGGACACCTATGTGCGGGCTGCTGGGGACAGAGCCTGGCAGGCACATCTGTGTGCGAGCTGCTGGGGACACAGCCCGGTGGGGACACCTGTCTGCGGCTGCTGGGGACAGAGCCCGGGGTCAGCAGGTGCCCATTCCCAGGGACGGCTGGCAGCATGCCCCCAGGCTCAGTCCATCCACCTCCCAGCCCAGAAGGACCCCGCTCCGGCCCCTGGGGGCTGCTCGGTTCCCATTCCTCTTAGCTCTGCACCCGCCACTTAGTTCTTTTGCCTTTTCACCCGGTGGTTCCCGAGTCCCTGATCCCCCGGAGGAGTCTGTTCGCAGGGTGCCAGGGTGCTGCACTGCCGATCGCCTGGCTCGGGAAGTCCAGCTCCCCTGCTGCACCAGCTTTTCTGCAAGATCACATAACCCTCTGTCCTGGGTGCTTTGCGTGGTGCATAATCAGCAATCAAGCCACCGTTAGAAGATGATCACCTGACGACCAAATCCAGCCTGCCTGGGCCGAGTTTCCTTCATACTCATCTGTGTCACAGAACAACCAATGTACCTGATTGGACTTGTACTCTCATCAGAACAATATAAGAATAACTGATGGGTGTTTTAAAATAAGATCCAAAGCCTTACTGAAATAATTAATAAATAAATAAATAAATAAATAAATAAATAAATAAATAATGGAGCGGCAAGTGATTTTAAGTTCTATACTTGTAACTCCTCATTTGTTCCAATTGTTTATTAATGTGATTTGAAATAGCCAAATCATAAAATGAAAAAAATGTACAGATCTATTGCTTCAAAATAAAACAGAAGTATTTTGCACCCCCAGAAACACATATCCCTTAGGCTTAGCATGTGGGTAGAGTCTGAAGCTGACAACAGTCTGGCAAAGCTCCCACATGGTAGGAATCAATGGCGTTAAAGTGACCAGAGAGACCCTAAAGCAGAAGTTCACAGGCCCAGTTGGCTAAACCTTGAAAAGAAAAAGAAAAAAAAAATCAAATAAAGGGGTAAAAATAATAATAATAATAATACTCTGCCTTTTTCACAAAAAGGAAATTTTACTTTCACTGCATTATTTGACCTAATGGTCAGCCTATCT